GAAACTGTATGCCCTGAGGAGTTATGTGCTGTTGTGGTAGAGATGTTAAACCTCATTTTGGTCACTAAATTACAGTGAACTGCAGTGAAATTACAGTGAACTAGTCTTTAAAACTGCAGTTTTAAAGACTAGCATATGACTGCTGATTGTGAGCACAAGAAAAAAAAAGGTTTTTTTTTTTTTATAAAGTGCAAATCATGTTTTAGCACTTTATATAAAAGTCATTTTTACAACAGAGACAGATTTTCAAAGCACAGGGAGTGTGGAGAAACAAGACTGAACTTGAGTCCTGAATTATCAAAATAATGTTGCTTCAATTTATTCCCACCCTTTTTGTGTGGTTAAATGCCCCCTTGTGGCAAAATTGATTAAAAATATGTGGAATAATTCTATTGTCCATTTCCTATCTAAGACATGAATCCTGTCACACTTTGACTAGAGGCTGGAATACACTACATGAATTTCAAAAGATTTTAAAACATGGCATCATACACTACTCGACTAAGGATCACAGACTACCAGAATTTCAAATTGTTCCACAAACACAAAAAACTTATGCGAAAACATGTGCCTTGTTGTAGACGCACACAAAAAACACCCAAATAAAAACAATATGTGCTCTAAAATTGGCTCAAAATATCAAACATATTGTCTGAATGGATGGAATCATGATCTGAAGCAAAAAAAACATAGTATGTGCCCATCGTACACTACGCAATTTTCTGTGAAATCTGTCAACTGGCCAAAATCCCCAAACTGGCAATGACTTTTGGAAACTAGTGTCGACTCCTCCAGACTGCAAATTGAGGGCAGAAAATCTGGGCAAAAGTTGTGTAGTGTATTGTAGCCTTAAGGATATATCCATCTGTTTCGTGCAGCAAATGGATGATGCAGTATACACATTTGAGCAGCTCCTGCACCAGAGTTTGGAGGGCCAGGAAGGGGAGGATCTTTGTAAAACCACCCAGCGCTGCCAGGATCGTGTCATCAAGGTGAAACAGAACGTCCATCTCCCGTCATATCTTTTTGAACCAGTAGGTTCTTGTTTAAGATTTATAAATTTGTACCGTTTTTCAAAATTTGATGTCCAGAAATTTGACTACGACAGCAGCACAGTTCGTAAGAAGTTCTTCAGAGAGGCTCTTCTGCAGATATTCATCCCCTACATGCTGAAACAGCTCTCCCCATCATGCTCTGCTGTACGTCTTGGCTCTGGTAGAGCAACAATGCATTATCCAATCTAAAACTTCTCAGAAAATTGTTGTTATTGTTATTACTAATTATCTTAGTTATTATGTTGTTTATGCAGGAACTCCCCCGTTTCCAGGAGCTCATTTTTGAGGATTTCTCTCGTTTCATTCTGGTGGAAAACATATTTGAGGAAGTGGTGCTGCACACAGTCATGAAAGACATAATGATGGGTAAGACTTCTTTGAAAGGATGAGACCTTTACAAACCAAGAAGATTGAAACATTTAAAGTTGTGATGTTTTGGAACCAAATGTTTTCTTCTGTAATGTATTGTGATGTACATCCAAGTAAAACAGATTATTGGAAAATAAAATGCCATCATACTATGCTCTTACCAACATTCCTTCTATGTTCCAGCTGTGAAGGAAGCAGCCGTCCAGAGGAGACACAACCTGTACCGAGACAGCATTGTTTTGACCAACAGCGACCCTAACCTTCACCTGTTAGGGGAGAATCCTCCAATTGACTGGGCTGAGGAATATGGAGGAGGTCAAGAGGAGGTGGATGGAGAGAATGCAGGAGATCCAGAGGCTCAAAAAAGGCGCAGGATGAAGCAGGTGGTCTCCATGATCCAGATAGAAGGCAATGCCTCTGTGCTGCCCAATGAATCATGCCTTGAAGTGCCCACTGTAGACAATATTCCAGAGGAGGAGGCGGAGGTACGTTCAGAGAAGCAAGTTCCCAATGGAACCAAAAAGGATGTGAACAAAAATGCGATTGATGAGATACTACCAACAAACGGAAGTGCAATAAAAGAGGAAGAAAGCACAGCAGAAAAGTCACTGCAGGGCACAGAGAGCAAGTCGGCCATAGACTGTGCCATACAGGAAATCGAGAATGCAGTTCAGGAAGAGGAACATGAACTCAGGACACAGAAAACTGCAGAGTCATCATCCTTGAAAGAGGAAACTGCAGCCGAGGAGGTAAAACCCACCTCAAATTGTGAAGAAGAGGCACGACTAAACCCAGCAGACACAAACAAAGATTCACCTTCAAGCACAGAGGAGGAGCCTTTGGATTCGCCGGTAAGGGAAGGGGAAGCAGTGACACCATCAGACCAACAGGAAAATCACATTACGGCGAGCACTCATGACTCATCACAGCACGACGACAGCGGATTCCAGTCGCCCACTAATGAAGCAGCAGAAGAGGAACATCAGGCGGGAAAGGAGGAATGTAATGACTCTGAAACTGGAGAGGATATTGGGAAGGGAGAAAGTGCACATATGGATCACCAGTGAAATATCTCATGAACTCTGTTCATTTATTATGTGTTTATGCTTGTAAACAGTGAGTAAATGCATTACCCACTGCTCTAAACCGACTTTTGACTGAGTGACAGGAGCTTTTTTGTGGCTTTTTTGCCAGTAAAACACTTTAGTCTCACTACTCTTGACTGTATAGACATTGTTGTCTATATCTTTTTGCATGCACACACTCACATTTTTTTGCACTTAAAAACAAAACAAAAACAAAGTCACTCTTAGTTAGAGCTGTGCTCGAATACAAACACATCCTAGGTCAAAATGTCTTCACCTTTCTGTTCACAAGTACAATATTCACCTTTATTAGTTCCTAGGTTTAGTGTCATTTCATTTGTGTGTGTGGTGCAGAATAACAGACTGCAGAAAAATTGTTTTTGCAGTGGAAATCAGCCACCTTATGCCTCATGATGATAGTATATGGTTCCTTATTGAAACTGCATCTCGTATCTGACACAGTACTGCCTTGCCAGAATTCACACTAAAGACACTGAATTTTATTTTTCATCAACATTATAATAGAGGTTTGTTTTATGCTTTCTTAATCGGTGAGATGGTTTGTAATCAAAGCATCCTTTTGACATGAAGTCTGTTGAGTTGCCTGCACAGGAGACATTTAGCTTGTGAACTAATACTTGCTGGAACGCCAAACAAGCTGCATCTTGTGTTTAAGCTCGTTTAAGACTGGAGTGTTGCTTGCATTGCTGCTGCTGGTGGAGTAAGCATTATTTTCTTAGACACTGCTGTCATTTGTTGTGATTACAGAAGTGACTGCATAGATTTTTCATTAACCAGGCCAAACTAGAATAACTGACTTTAAGCCATTTTCCGTGTGGTGCTTTTCGCCTTCTTTTTCATTGTTGAATCTGTGGATTTTTTTTAAAAATTGCATTTAGTAATTGCATTATGATATCAGTATCTTCTGGGTCGCACATACACTGTATAGTTTTAGTTTATGTAGAGAATACTGCTCAATGGGTTGTGGGTCCTAGTGGAGATGTGTCATGTTATTTGATTTAAGTACAGGTCACTTTTGTAAAGGGTAATCCAGAAGATTAGAGCAATCAAACTGGCATTCATATTTGTACAGCGCCACTGTTAGGGAACCAGAAAGTTATGTTAGATATTTGTATTTCAAATTTAAATTACAAGCAACTTGTTAATGTGCAAAATGTTATCAATAGGGTCTGACTCCTATATCTGGCCACAACAGCTTCCTAATTTCTTCAATTCTGTTTAAAGATTGACTTTTTAAAGTAGATTTATCTATGATATGACAATGACTTCAACTTTTAATTAATGTAATTGAATATGTTTATTTATTAGTAACAGCACATACGTTATCTTAATCTTTTTAATTGTATCCTGCTCAAATACTTTTGCATTTTTATTGTATTGTTATCTTTTGGAAAAATAAATCAATATCACTGAGAGTCTGCATATTTTTGCCTTTAAGCAGTTGTTTGCTGAATAGTATTTGAAATAGCTATATTTACATGACTTAAAGAGGTCATGAACTGAGAAATCAAAATTCCCTCGATCTTTTGGTCGTTGTACTATAAAAACATCGTGTAAGTTTCAGAACTCAAACCTTTTTCGTTAGTCTAACAGCTTATATTGAGGCCAAAATGATAATTAAAAAAAAAAGCAGTTCATGACCCCTTTAAAGTGAAAATGTGGCTTGGTGTATCGGTCACACCAGCAGGCGGCAGTGCAAACGTTTGTCACGCTCGTTCTGTCACCACGATGAACATTCGGCAGTGATGATTTAAATTCACTCCAGTGAATCGAATCTTTTGAATTCGTTCACCAAAAAGGATAAATTCACTCTACAGGTTCAGTGAAGAGGTTATGATCGTTAGATGGGTTCAAAAATGCTCCAGCACTGCCTGTATTCGAATTACTGCGCCATAATAGTAAGCCTTTGAAGGCAGGAAAGCAATCACCTTCACAAGAGAGAAATTTAAGTGAACGAAAAATAATCACGAGAACTATTCGTTCACTTATTTATTTTTTTAAATACCAATTCGTTCACGAAAGAAACGTTTATGGCAGCCATTTGAGTGTTTATTAATTTAAAAAGTGTATTTTGTATGGAAATTAACCTATAAGTGATGTAATTGATTTTATTTACATTTGTTTATCATATTATTATTATTACGACTTATTATTATCTTATATTATTATAATTCAATAAATTATTTTTTTATATATTATTTCAATATTTAGTTATATGAGTTAATACGTGACATTTGAACATTTTGCCCTTAATTATACATATGAACTCCAACACCCGCATTCGGCGTTATCCTCCCACAGCGTTATTATCCCCAACACGCACCTGTTAAAGTAATATTTCTTTATTTTAGAGGGGACCGAAAAAAATATCCCGACGTGCTGACGACATCGTTTTGCGTAGCCTGAGCGCACAGCTCTGGTATTTTCCCCGCTCAGAGAGAGAGAGAGCGAGATCAGCATCTCACAGGCACCAGCGTCAGCATCGGCGGCGGACGAGACGCGCAGCACTGAATGATCCCGCGCACCGTGAACACATCTTACCGACTACACACTTGAGTGTCACTGCACAGAGAATACAGTCAAAGGTTTTTCACCATTGTGGGACGGGGGAATGATAAACCCCGGATCCCCCGGGCCGTTGTACTGTTCTTAAGGATGCGATCACTGAGCCCACCGTGGGCCTCGCTACTCACCGAGGCTTTCCTCATCACAACAGTCGCCGTCAGCGCTGCAATGGCAGGTAAGACGCATTTAATTCATGGCATTTATGGGTATCGTGATGCCGTACAGGTGTCTTGGAATAAATAAGCACTATCTGGCTATTTATATAGCCCAAAACAGCTTTTGCAGCCACATAGTGGGGATGTGTTTTGTATATTTTGCTTGTTCTGTGCACGTGTGCACTGCAAGTGTTTGTAAAAGTCATAATTAGACCATACAACTATTTTCATATCAGAATTATTTTGAAAGATTAATAATAATGGAATGTTTTTGCTTATACATTCAGTGATGGAAGGTCCCTTCTTTTAAATGAATTCAGACTTAGATTCTGTTTGAATTGCCTTTGATTTAAATGAATTTTTCTGCTGTTTGAAAAACCTAAGTAAACTTGAACTCAATAAAAATAACTCAAAAAAATGTTATGATATGGACTCACATGTGGACCCCCTTATCCACGTGTTTCCATTTTGGAAAATGTGTGCACTCATGAGTACATTCACACTGTTTTGATGTCATCATGTCTGTATGACAGTCATTACTCTGAGTTTCCCACTCTGCTCTTAAGATTTGTGACCCTGGACCACAAAACCAGTCATAAGGGTCAATTTTTTTAAATTGAGATGTATACATCTGAATAAATAAGTTTTCCGTTGATGTATGGTTTGTTCTGATAGGACAATATTTGGCCGAGATACAGCTATTTGAAAATCTGGAATCTGAGGGTGC